TATACATAGAAAACCAGACATTTTCATAAACTAGTGGAACTATAACATGGTATAATTTTTCTGCAAGGCAATGGGTGTGTATGTGTTGGTGTGTGTGTGTGTGTGTGTACACATGCACACTATTTTTTGAGGGAATCATTTTTTTAGAAACACATCCGAGTTGCAGAGATGTCCATTTGAGCTCAAGACCTTCATGTCTCTTCCCTCTTGTTGCTATCTATGTCAGATGACTGATGAGGCAGGCAGGCCGTGGGGAGTCTGGGGGTTGTCCCTGAGAACACAGGATCTTCCTTATTCTTAGCTAAATCTACATTCCTGAGGCCAACAGGCAGCAGAGGTTCAGAGAAACTGTATTACAACCCTCTTCATCTGATCAATTAATACTTTGAGGTTGCATAACTTATTAGCAAACAAAGATGAAGAATATTCCCCAGAATTATAATTAACATTTGTTGAGCAATTATCATGTGCCAAACACTATTCTAAGCAATTTATTTGTTAATACATTTGCATCTTGGCAACAACTCCACGCAGGAGAAACCATTAGTATCATTATTTTACAGGTGTAGAAACTAAGGCTTAGGAAGAGTTTTATTCTTATCTGTTAAGTAACTTTGACAGCTAGCAAGGAACAAAGTAGCAGAATAAGAACAAAAACAAGCTGACTCTAAATGGAGTTTTTAATCATTATATTATGATTCATTAATTATGCTACCTCAGATGCTAAAGCATTTATTAGACAGCATTTAAAGGAAATAATGGTGGGTATCTTACTGCTACTTTAGATGCAATTGCTTTGCCAGGCATGGTGGTACATACTTGCAATCCCAGTACATGGGAGGCCGAGGCAAGAAGAATCATCATGAGTTTCAGGCCAGGCTGGACTATGTAATGAATCCCAGGCGAGCCTGAACTACATAGTAAGATCTGTCTCAAGAAACAAACAAACAGGTTGGGGTAATCGCTCAGCGACATAGTACCTGCCTGGCAAGTACAAGATCATGAGCTTAATTCCTGGCACCAAATAAAGAAAAGGAAAAATAAAGAAAAGGAAAGGAAAAGAATAAAAACAGCAATTACTGTCACTCACTGGCACTTGCTAAGTCAAAATTAAAGATACCTAAGCCCCAATTCATACAAGGATTCAAGGCCCACTTTACTGGATTATTGTGTTAGAGCAGAGTTACTTCTAAATAACCAGGGCACAGTTCTCATACACCGACTCTGACCTTATCTACTTTTGTACCTAATAACTGAAACTTCAGTGCCTAAATAGCAACAGCGGCTGGTAGAATGGAGAGACAGTAAGCTAAACTTGTTCCTCTGAACCTGGGAGTGTATCAGCACTAACTCTGTCACACAAATGAGTACTAACCTGTACCAAATATCTTACATTTTATCCAACTCAGTCTGGTTTAATCAATTACATACAAAGGGCCTTGGGCTTCACTTTCAGGTTTTATAAATGACTTTATTGGAATTCATAGCACTTTCTGGACCATTTAACTTGTACAAAATGTCTAAACTGCCTTCAATTGTACATTTCCGCACCCCATCCTAGTTGTGCAAAGGTTATGTTTCATGAAAGAAAATTTTTAATCTGTACAGAAGAGTTCAACAATTTTGCAAACAACAAATAAAGAGAATCAAAAATTTTTGTGTTCTGGACAAGTATTTATATAGAAAAAGCCCAATTAGTTTACCATGCTAGTTTAAGCCGCTTAGAATACCATGAGCTTCAACCTCAACAACGTCCTTTCTGCATTTCAACTGATAATTGACTGGCTCTTAGCACACACAATCATCAAAAGGAACACAAGAGATTTTTTCAGCCAAGAACTTTCATCTATAAAATCATCTTGGCTATGTCAGTTTGCCTGAGTCCTCCCAATTATTTTATTTAGGAAGAATTAAGATTTTCCATTTCTTAATGACTTTTAAGCATTTTAGAATAAACCATTAGACTAGACTGAAAGAATTCTCTGCTGCTTTGTTGTTTGTAGTGGTGCCTTTATCAAAAGCATGCATTTTTATGAAATTATCTTTATTAGTGACAACAGAGTACTATTCACATAACAAATACTTATTAAGCACGTACTATGAGTCAATACATGTATCATTTTAAGAATCCAGTGGTAAAAATAGATTAAGTCTCTGATTTTGGAGACTTTACTCTCTCTAGTTATATAAAGATACTTTTTCTGCTTCCATTAAGTAAATTCTCATGGTTTCCTTAAGTGGGGACATGACAGCATCTTCTACATGCATTGTGACGAGTAGGACAGACTAGAAATCTACTGCAAGCTTAAAGTGCCTCTGTGCTCCTGATAGAATACAGTGGCACTGAGGTCAACATGAGGACTGACAAAAACTGAAAGCTTTCTTTGCATCAAAAAGGACTTCAAACAGGTGGCAGATCTAATTTTAAACTGTTTAATCAGGGAAATGTTTTAAAAGCCTAGTAACACTTACCCACTGGGTTGTGCCATGGAGAGTAAGATGGTGCTGCAGCGTGGCTGTTATTCCCTAGACTCAACTAACCCACCAAGCAGATCATGCTCCTACCCAGGCAGAGAACAAAGACACACAACAAAGCAGGCATGTGATAATGAGGTGAGTATCACACCAGTCTGTGGACAGTGGAGCTGTCTGAAAGGATTCAACATTAAAACTGCTACTACAATTTTCCTTTCATAAACTGTAGTTTTTCCACACTTCAGAATGTTCATACTATAGAATACCATGGACCCATTATAAACAGAGAAGTGGATCTGAATTAATATGGAAAGGGTTTAGCCTCAGAAGACAATACTGAATTTCCAAATACTTTTTAAAAATAGAAAATGTACAGAAAGATGCAAACAGTATGAATTACTACATTTCTGAGCACATGATAAGGAAACAAGATGGGAAATTTCACATTACATACAACACTATGATTGGGGAGGATTGTATGCATGTGAACCATGTCATTAAAATTTGATTTAAAAGAATCAAAGTAGAATACTATGATCAAGAAATTAACTGAACAATCAATATCTCACTATAATTTAACATGAAAATATGTAGTAAAATTCAATGGTAAGCTATATTAAAATTGCATCAAATTCCTTATAGTATATATTATTGTTCCTTCAAAATCTGGATAATTCATTTTGTTAATCTAGAAAGAAAGGGGGTTAAAATAGACAACTGAAATATCTACAGTTTGTATCATCTTGTCTATAATGTTACAAATCATGGAAAATTCTAACCCTGAAGCTAAGTAGAAAAAAATTTTTAAACAACCCAATATTTTAAATATAAAATAAAGAAAGTCTGCTGTCTAGAAAATTTAGAAAACATTACATTAAGTTCTATTACTGACTCTTTAATACCCCAGCACCTCTGTGCCTATTTAGTGAGACAGTTTTCTTTTAAGGCTGAGTGCGTGCTCAGCTGCAAGAATGATAAGTATGGCAAGAGACTGAAGAAGTAGGTGAGATGAACAAGTAATCAACAAAAAAAGAGAGAAAGAAAGAAAAGGAAGGAATGGCAAAGCAAACAAAAACAAAAAGTGTGCAAAACAGGGAAAAGTGTTGTTGAACAGAAAGGGCATTAGTGCCTCCTGACTTAGGAAACATAACTGAAAATCTGTATTTGTAGAACAATTTACAAAGCATTTATTTCCACATATATTATGGAGTATGATCTTTGCACTGCATGGTACTAACCCATTTTACAGAAAATGGAAATTCTGAGAGGGTAAGGACACTGCCCAAAGCCAAATGGCTAGCAAGTAACAACTGAGGTCTTTGACTTGCCAGTCAATGTTCTTTCCAGTATTCTATGGCTGTCAGACATTTGTTGCTCAAATTGCTACTAATATTCAGAAATGTAAAACTTTCAAGAAGGAAATATATATAATATCTATTGCTAAAATATGTAAGTTATCTTTTCTTCCCCTAGAACAGTGGTGGCAAACCTATGGCATGCATGTTTTTCTTTTAAGACAAAAGATGTTAGTGTATGAGTTGGTTTTTCTAAACTAAAACTTCTATATTCAAGTTTAATTAGAATATAAGCACTTAGCAGGATGTAGTTAGAGCACTCACCTCTAAAATCACTACTCTAGGAAAACTCTGATTTGCTCTAAAATCCACAGAACACAGTAGGCGAGAGGAGAGGGAGAATATGGGATTGATGATGTGGAGGAACAGGAGCCTCCACACCTGGAATATAGAGTGTGGTAGATACAGGAACCCAAATACAAAATCCTGGATTAAGTTTAACATACACATTCATGCCAATGAGTACAAGCAAATCTGAACAAGATCTGTGGGTTTCCAGATTATACTATAGTTTGCAAATATCATTGGAGGAGAGTGGGTAAAGGATACATGGCCTGTTTCTACTGACTTGTTATAGGAACATCCACTTACCACAATAAAAAATGATATTTAAAAAAATCAAACATTCATCCTACCAACACCAACTTTAAGACAAAATAGTGGTACCATGCAGAAACAAATACAAAAATACAAGATGTACTCCAAGTTTTCATTATGGCCATGTGAAAACTTCACTACAAGAGAACTGAGGCCTAACTTACGATATTAAAATTTTTTCTTATTCCAAATGTATCATTCCAGGGATGATACTTTTTAGTATCTTTTGATAGCATAAATGCTCTAAGAGTGGGAGCCAGCTCCAAGTAGCCAGACAAATGATAAACGTTGGGTGGAAGGTGAAAAAGAAAAGGAAAGAGAGGAAGAAAAAAAGTTTTAAATTAGAAATCTTTGAATGATGCTGCTTAGGAATTCCATCTCCAATATCAAGTGACATAATAAGTGTAAGCCAGTGACTGGCAAATTAGAGAACTGTGGCAAGATTATAGAATAATTATCCTAATTGTCATGCACAGACAAGAAGTGTCTTATTTTGGCGTTCTGGTACATGACTCTACGATGAGAAAACAATTATATCCAGTAACAGAAAACTGCAACTGGTATTGTACTAACCTGCTTGTAAGTGCCATCCAGCAAAGTGTCCAGATGTTGGAGCGGGGCAGGTGTTTTATCTTTGAACCTCGTCAATAGCCGACGTTGGATGGCTCGGAATTGTACAGCTCTTTCAGACAACAGCTCTTCTAGTTTTTCGCCATTTATCCGCAGCTGTAAGAAAGAGTGTCTTGAATTGATGTTAAATAGATACAAGAAAATGTGTTCAATATAGGAAAATAGGGCCTATATTACATGCAATGTCAAGAAAAGTGTGAGAGAGCAATTAAAAATTTCAAATATTTTACAAAGATATAAAAATTAAATTTTTTAAATTTTAATATTTGGCACACAAACATATAAATAATACAGTAGAATAGATCAAATGGCAATTTAGTAAAGGTGACCCAATTTATTTATTTTTTGTCTTTTTCCTTCTTATCAGTACCAGGGATCGAACTCACGACTGCCTGCTTGCAAGGCAGGCGCTTATGCCGCTGAGCTAAATCCCCAGCCCCCAGGTGACCCAATTTCAATAGGAGAAAGACTGCGGACATTTGACAGGTGTTTTATAATAAATGACTATATGGTGAAAAAATAGCAATTTCTCCACATTCTTCACAGCAAATTAAATGCATAGGTAACAAAAATCTAGATACAACAAAGCCCTAGATAAATTAAACTTCCCTTTTATAATCTCAATATACAAATCAAAAAGATAAAAGACAAACATGCACACATACACATATGCTTGATAAATTACTAAAATTTTTAAATTTTACAGTTTAAAAATGAAAAAATGCTAAGATATGCAGAAAACTACAAGAAGGACACTAGGTTATATCCATAATATCTAGACAACATCTAGAAATCAATATTAAAAAAACCACAACACAATGGAATCCACAAAAAGAGTAAAAATCAAATAGAAAAACTGGCAAAATTTTAAATGAAGTTAACACAATTACGTATAGCCTATGATCTAACAATCTAACTTCTGGGAATTTATCCTTGAGATATGCTTGCAAAAAGCAATGCATGTAGTTGTTCTATTTTATTATATTGATATCACTAATAAAATATCCACCATTAGAACTAGTTAAAAAGAGGACTATTCTTCAAGACTGGTGTTTACAGGCAATGCTTTCCAAAGATGTATTAAATAAAACAATGCAAATACATACAGATCATGTATCAAGTGATACTGTGTGTGTTTTAGCACCTTAATGACTACACAGAATTAGAATTTGTCTAAAAAGATACACAAGATACTGAATATTAAAAGTTGCCTCATGAGAGGAAACTTAGTAAAGAATGAGAATCAGGCAATATTCTTTAATGTAGCTCATTTCATTAAAAGTCAACATTAATAATAGGGCTGGAGTGTAGCTCCCTGGTATAGTTCTAGCCCAGTATACACGAGACTGGTTCCATCAACAGCACCATCACTTAATTAATTTTTTAAAAAAAGAAACTATTGTAACCATAGAGTAGAAGGCACAACCACGAGATCAAATTATTCTAACTACCAATTCAACTTTATGAAACTAATAAACTAGTTCAGAAAATGTTATTCAAACTGTTCAGAAATTAAAAATTAGTTTACAATTCTGTTATCAAACCAAATTCTTATCGTTTCAACTTAATATGTTCTCCAGATACATAAGAACTATATATGATATAAAATTCAGAATTTTAAGTTTTAATTCCAATTTTAGAAGCACTAAGCATATTCTCTAGAGGGAAAAGCCATTATTACAAAAATTTGGATAATAAAATGAATTTTTAATAACTAAAATTTTACAAATAGCCTAATTATCAGTATCTCACTCTCTCAGTCAATAATTTATTGCTATCTTATTTTACTTCCTGATTCATGAAACACACAAAAAATTAACAAGACAATCTCAATCCTCAGGTATCACCCAGGTTTTTCAGTCCACTGAATGTGTAATCACGCAGTAATGATGGAAATGTCTTCCCATGTCACAGTTTCAATGAGTATGTCTCAATCTCATAGCCAGAAACTGTTTAGGGTACTAAGAACTAGAGAAATGTGTAAAACAAAAAATCTTCATATCTCACTTGCATGAAGGGATACTTGGGACTTTGTGATACCAAGTTTAAAATCATAATGGTCCCAGTCCTGTCTTTCTACCACAGTTCATGGTCCTCCCCAGGCCCAGGCCACCTCCTTACAACTCCCAACAGATCTGGGGCTCTGGAGCAGGGGTTGCACCCACACTGCACATGAGATGCAGCAGCCACCCTGCGAGAAAAGCAAGAGGCCTGGAGGACACCAGCATAGACAAACTGAAATCACTGCAGAAGGATGAAGTATAGCAGTTTATGAGCTTTAAAGAATCTACTAAAAAAAATTGTAGCAAGTTGTCTTTCTCAAAATGACTGCAAGTTAGATACTGCAACAAATAATATTTTCCAAAATCCTGAACTTTATATACAAGAGAGTATAAAAGGATCATTGAATGGGAAGATGTTTGAACAGCTATACAACAGATACAAACATCCTCAAGCTGAAAATAAAACTAGAATGGATGGCATACAATAGTTCTGTGATGACCTGGACTCGACCAAGCCAGCATTAGTGCTGGGATCACTGCACGAATTTCAGAGGGCAACACTATGTGAGTCCTCCAAACAGGAGTTTGTGGACAGCGTGACAGATCTAGGATGAGCCAGCAGAGAAAAGCTAAAGGCTCAAATACCAAAGATGCAACCAGAATTCTAAGAACAAGAATGATTTAAGGATGTTTTTACCAGTTTGACTTTGCAAAGAATCCAGAACAAAAAGGATTAGAGCTAGATATGGCCACTGCCTCCCAGAACTTAGTACTTACTGGAAGATAATTAAATTTCGTTGCAATGCCACAAAAGATGAATACCAAATACTTAAAATCTCTTAGAATTCAGTGCATTGGTTACATATAACATGTCTAAATATGAAGAAGGAATATGGGCTGTTCTCATTGATGATTTTTGTAGAAATGCTATCTTCATAAAAAAACATTTTGGCAAAAGAATTAAACATAATGAACATCACAAGCAATTGATAAAAACTTCTTAAATATACAATTTGGGCCAGTTGCAAAGACTGTGCTAATAGTACTTCCAATGAGAATGATATATTTAAGTGTACTGAATATGGAATGGTGCTTTATTTTGGAGACATTTTTTTTTCTGGAAAATCACAAATATTGTTGATGTGAGTAGAGTATTTGATGAAAGAATTTCAGACAAACAGCATGAAATGTTTTAGGCTAACTTAGCATCTACTTGAAAAATGCATTGTGCTTTAGACTCTCACCTTCAAAAGCTTCCACAAAGTAGTTTACATTTACTTTATCTAACTTTGTATGTAATGACACTACAGGTAGCTTATAATTAGAAAGTGTCTATAAAGTTAGATTCTACTCTTATCTACATTATGTATAAAATAAGTTTATTTCGTTATGATTTTGAAATGCTTAAATTCCTATCAAGTAAGTTACATAATTTAATTTATTCTGAATGTTTTGAATCACCGTACAATACAATATTCTAAATGTCTGTTGAAAACTGTGAGAACACAGGAAAGGGACTATAATTATGCTCACCTTCATCTGTGTGTATAATCAGTGAAAGCATCTGTAGTTTACCAATTCCCCAAGCTTTTCCTTAGAAAGGAAGAACGCTGAAGTGGAAAATCAAGGAGTTTCTACACAGCATATAAAAAAAGAAAACCTGTGTGCCAAACTTACTGGTTCCCAGGATATAATATTCTCTATTTTAATTATTACAAATATATAATGTTGATAGTCTTTCTACGAGCTCTCTTTCATAAATCACTGCACCCCAGTTTGGCAAAGTAAACCAACAACTTCTTAAAATACATCCTAGAGCAGAGATGGAAAACCTCATAGAACTTTCAATGAAAAACAGCTTGCAGAGTCTTGGAGGTGGAGCAAAGTTGGCAGATAGATAACAGCTGGCTACAGAGGCTCCCTGAGATACTTAGAATTCAACATAATACAGGGTGGGGAGCCCTGAACAGAAGGAGACGAATTCTCTCGTCCCAAGAAGAAACTAAGGTGAGAAGAACCAATCAAACATACAGTCCCAGTGCTATTATTGGAATAGCTAAAGGTTTAGTGCTCCAGCCGCAGTGGGGAGTCGACTTGCCAAGCCATGCGAGGTCCTGCTGCTTCCATTCACTGGAGGCGCAGTCGCACTGAAGTCGGGTGGAACAGCCAATGGAGACTTGAACTGGCAGGGAGCCTGCATTGACCTGTGATGAGGGATGAGAGTGGAGCCATTCCACAGAAAGGGAGGCAACCGCAGAAGGCATTTTGGGACCAGGCAGGACTGGCAAGTACAAGGGGCAGCAGTGACTTCAGTCAGTTGTTCTCCTCCCAAACAGGATTGGTGGAGTGAGGTAGGCCTGGGTCACGTGAGCTGGCTGAGCCCCAACAGGTTATACAAAATCAATTCCCTACGGCAGTGATGCACACTAACGCAGTGAAGCCTCAGAAGTTTGACTGACCGAGAGGGGAGGGGCCAACATAAGCTGCCCCTGTTTGCAACTCACTAGCACACTGCAGTGGGAAGAGTCACCTAACCAGCGTGCTTCAGAAGAATTGTAACCAACAAAGAAAGAAACCGGGGCCTTCCTGGAAGAAACAAAAAAGATGGGAAGAGGAAGCAACAACAAAAAGCCCCCAGGTTCCAAGCCTGAGAACATTGACACAGGACAGGTAAATACAAAGGAGAATGAGAACAGCAAACATGCAATATCAGACATGGCACCAATGGACATAAACAGATATCTTCAGGAACTCATGGACGAGTTCGAAAGTGAAATATTTAGCCAAGTAAACCAAGATGTAAGAAGATTAATAAAAGATGCTAAGCACCCCTCAAGAAGACACAAATGGAAGAAGGGAGGAACTCAAACAAAAGAGAGAACCATTTGATGAAGAATATAAAGAAAATATAGAATACATGAAGCAGATTCAAAGAGATTACCAGGAAATTAAAAACTATATGGATATCTGGCAAATCTGCTTGAAAGAAACTAAAGATAGATTATCCAAACTAGAGGACAGTTTTGCAATGTGAGATTATGAAAGCAAAAACTTTTTAAAAATAACAAGGAAGCAAGCAATAACAATACGAAC